ATGTTGTAGGATTGTTCACTGTTGGTGCCAGATACACCAGGTATGCCAAAATGCTTTATGATTTTTTTTTTATATCTCTACAATTCACATCACAGTAATGTACCATGAACTTGTATACATAATATTTTTAGGAGGAATTCCCTAGGAGCTGAAAATCATTTGATAGGATTTCCCCAGGGTAAAAAGTTGGAGAAAGGCTGCTTTAGATAATCATTTGAATTGTGACAAAGGTATTTATTGATAAAGGCAACAGAAGATCATTGAAATCAGAAGTTTGAGTGTACTCTTTATTAAAAAAAAACAATAGCAAATTTACAGATAGCAGCATTATAAAGCAGCTATTAACCTTCATTATACATAAAACGTAAAATGTTAACTTTATTAGAGAGTTATCTGACTTTCAAATATAGAGTGTTAAGGAAAAGGCATGTCCTTTCATTGAAAATGTAAGCAAATTAATATGCTATGTGCTATTGTGTTACAAAGCTTGTTTAAAGTGCACAATGTTAATAAACATCAGATACTATATTAAGGAGTCTTCAAGCGTGTAAAATAATATGATTTCACAATGATTACATATTCACTCTACAGCTGGCTGAGTTTTTACATCTCCATTTGTCACTGACTATTGTGTCCAATTAAATGATTAGCTTTTAAAAACTGCAGCACATTATGAGAGTGAACTTGTGTTTCATTGCAATGAGTGATGCAGAAGCAAACTCATTACAGCATGTAATTCAACCATATTAAATAACAAACAGATGGCTGCTGTAAATGGGAGCTGCTTTTTCTCTTCAAAAGTGCCATGAAAAAGGGTGTTTTTATTTATCTTTGTTTCCAGTTTCTTTCTGTTTTCTTGACAAGTGGGCAGCTGGTTGCTGAGGTTTTCAATTGATGCAAAAGAATGAAAAGCCTGTTTCCATTAATTTCTCCATAAAATAAGTCTTTGAATCATTTCTGTTATAAATGCATGTGCAGTAGCAAGCTGCTGCTTGATTAATTCACTTATTATGAAGATTTCATCTTTTATAAGAGGGCCTGCAGGTAATTTGTCTTGTTTAGTAAGATTAGAAAAATGTAATTATCTTTATACCTTAGGACCCCTATCAGTTTAATTGTGCTCCTCTAATTTCAAACATTAATTCTTGTTTTTATCTTAAATTGTAACATTTTAAACCTTAATGCTCTTTGTTGAAAGTACTTATAAACTTTGTGTTCATTTGAAAACTGGATTCCCTGCAATGAAAAAGTGAAATATTTAACAATTATTGCAGTATAAAAAGATGCACATTTGATGCAGTGAAGCAGCATCCTTGTAACAGAAGGATTGTGCTTCATTAAGTTACTTGCTAAACACGTCTTAGATGTCTTGTAAAGTTAGCTTAATAAACTCTATGGGTTACGCACCTTGTACAGAGAAAAAGAAACAAAAATTAACAGCAAGACTTATCTTGGCCATTTGTAACCAGTTTGCTATGAAATATACATATACACTTTTAATTTTAAACAAGGGATCATTTTTCAACCAAGAATTCCTTTATACGAGGGATGCTCATCTAGAGTTTTCTACATACCATACAGGCAGAGAATATGCTGTGAATAGAGATCTGAGTACATATGCATCTGCTTTTAGAGCTTTCACAATAAAAACTTGATGGTGACCTCCAACATAAAAGGTTACCTTTTAAAACTTTGATATCTCAGCATTACAAGATATGCTCATTCCAAATATTATTGGAAAATACAGTTTTCTTTCTTTCTTTTTCTTTCTTTTTCTTTCTTTCTTTCTTTCTTTCTTTCTTTCTTTCTTTCCTTTTCCTTTCTCTAATTTGGTACAAAGGCAGATATACAAAGAAGTACCTGTGGTCCCCAGGAAATTGGGAATCAGTAGATTAAGCTAGTTAGTGCAGGTGGCAGACAATTAGCATAATCTAGGAACATACAGAGGTCAGGAGAAGTGGCAGACAATAAAGGTAATCCAAAGATATGCAGCAAGGTCAGAACTATAATGTATTGTACTGGTACTTGACAAAAAACTAACTCAGTGGTCCTGATTTACCATGGGAGATGGTGGCAGTGGAAAATGTTTGCTCTAAAATGTGCTGAATGTGTTGTAACCATACATTTACTGTAACAGGTGAGCTTTTACAGGCACAATCACGTACCTGTACGTTTCGGCTTTATTCCTGGTTTGCTCTTGCATGCACGTGGACTCGGATGACTGTGCTGTCATTCGCTGCAGCACAAGCTGCTCAGCGGGTCCCAGGTCTATGATTTATGACTGAAACCCGCTGATCAGCTCAGGAAATGATAGAAGAGAGCCCTGTGGTGGTAAAGATCACTTCAGACAGCTGGAAGTAAAAACTGGCTCATTGCTTAGTAAAATAGCACACAGTACACACACTAAACATTGTTAGGCACACATTTAACCCCTTGATTGCCCTAGATGTTAACCCCTTCTTGGCTAGTGTCATTAGTACAGTGACAGTGTATATTATTAACACTGATCACTGTATTAGTGTCACTGGAGAGAACAGTGGCAGTTAGTCAGTTCCCCCTCAGCATCAGTTAGTGTCAGATATCCCACCATACTAGTGCAGTACCACTGTAAGTCACAGATCATCACCATTGCTAGTATAAAAAAAAAACAAATACAAATTCTGGTGTCTATACCATAGTTTGTAGACACTACAACTTTCATGCAAGCCAATCATTATACACTTATTGGGATTTTGTTACCAAAGACAAGTAGCAGAATACATTTTGACCACAATTTATGAAAAAAATTAGATTTTGTAAAAAAAATTTATTAAAGAATCCAGTGGTGATCAAATACCACCAAAAAAACCTAAATAAATTTAATTTGCATACAGCATTGCATGATCACAATTATCAGTTACCACAGCGCTCAACAGCAAAAAAATGGCCTTGTCATGAAGGGGTTCAAATCTTTTGGAGCCCAAGTGGTTGAAGTAGAAATGTATCTCACACATGCTATGTTGTTAGTGTTTTTCAAAGGGATTAGTTTTGCACTTTCATGACTTCTTTCCCATTGGAAGAATATAGCACATTCCATAATTTGTGAAATCATTGTTGAGTTTGTCAAATGACTTTTAAAGGTAATGTGGTTGGGATTTCTTTTAACTGGGGATGAGCAACTCTACAGTATCTTGTGTACCCATTTTGCAATTAGGCAAACTTAACCCCTATTAAAGTCTATGGGACCAAAAATGGTTAATATTGTTGCATTAAACAAAAAGAAAACAAGTAAACTGCAGTGCTAAAAGCCCCAATAACTCCACACAATGTAATATGGAGCTCAAACGTAAAGGTGAAAAAGGAAAAAAACAATTACCCACATTCCTCCTCTGGCCTCCTCTCCTCCCCTGCCCCTTTCTACAATTGTCCACCTTGATCCTTCTCCTTTTACCCCCCACCACATTGGCCTGAATTGTTCCTGCTCTGACCTACCCTCCTCTGCAAAACCCCACTCTGGCCCATCCTACTCCTCCACCAACTCAATGTCCCATGTACAGACCCCATACCAAGGTTTTTTGTTTTGATAATGTGCTAATTGATTTTATCATCATTATTATTATTGTTTTTATTGTTGTAAATACCCCCAATACATTTACCTAACATATGTATGTTGTTTTATTGTATGTAAAGTATAAGGAGGTCAATTAGTTTAATTTTCTAGAGGAGTGCAGTATGTTTAGTTTCAAAGTTTTCACTCAAATTAGTAAAGTTGGAAAAACAAAGTGAAGACTCACTTTGAAAATAATACCCAGTCTTGGCTAAGAAGAGAATCATAATTAGTACTACATTATTGGATGATTGAAGTAGGTACAACTTCCCCTTCATTCACTTAGCTAATTGCAATTTTTCCTAGTTTAGTGAAGGAGCGTTCATAATTTGTCCTAATTGTGATTATCTTATACATGATTGGTACTTATTTTTAAAATTAATGCAAACTTTTTTTTAACTTCATTCAATAACACGAGAAATCACTTTATACAGTAATAATGTTTAACTCCTTTATAAATCACTACCAGGAGGTACATAACTAAAATTCATGGGGCACCTTAGCTGAATTGATGAGCCCCCCAGTGACTTCTCTTTATGGCACCTGGCAGTGTCAATTGGAAAAACGATACACATGATCTTAAAACTGGAGTCCTGCCAAATACTTCTTCCTTAGTTTGGGTTGAAGTAGTCAAAGGATTAGAACATCTGTCTACTTTTTACTGTAATGATGAGCTATGGTAAATAGATTTAGAAATTCAAATGATTTTCATTAGATATCAGGAAAAGCATAAAAAACACTGTGCAATAATTGTGATTTGGTTTTCTATGTGTATTCCTGCTGCAGATTTTCACTTATTTACTATTGTGATGGAAAAGCATACTAATAGAGACCCAGGGGATGATTTACTAAAACTGGAGAGTACAGCAACTGGTGTAGCTCTGCATAGAAACCAATCAGCTTTCAGTTTTTTTTTTTCCAAAGCCTAATTTAACAAGCTGAAGTTAGAAACTGATTGGCTACCATGCAGAGCTGTACCAGATTTTGCACTCTTCAGTTTTAGTAAATAAACCCTCAAGAGAGCAGTAGAAAACAGACATTTTAAACAGAGTTTTAATGCTTCTATACTATATCCAAAACTGCAAAAAGAAATGTTTTGCTTGACATACTCATTAACCTAAAGTTAGATTACATCAAGGCTAGGTAGCAGGAGAACACTCAGCATAGTGTGTACATTATTAAGGATTATTGCTGTGAATAGAAGTTGCACGGGAAGAGCAGAGATACTTTAAAGCTGAATTTTGGAAAAAACTAACAATGTAAAAATACAAGAGCTGTTTTGCTGCTCTGGTTGTATTTATGCTACTATGGTTAATATGGGCCAACAACCTTTTTTGTTAAAAGAGTACAGGCACACAGACACCTCTTAGCAAATTTGATGGACCATTAAGTTATAAATGGTCAAGATGTGAGCTCATGGTTTGTCTCCAATAGTGATTCCACCAAAGATAGAGACACTGGCATCCGTATGAAAGACTAACCACTGTGCAAAAGTTCTTGAAGTAGTTTCAGGTCTGTCTCCAAGTATCAAAGTAGACAATAATACCGATTCAAATCTGCTATACATGGCCACCGCCAGGTTCCTCGGAGAGGGGGAGAAGCTGACCCACACCAGGAAGCAGTCCTGCAGCCTCATCTGAGCCTGCAAGATGTGAGGTTAGTCTTTCGTACACATGCCGGTACAAGTGCCTCTGTCTTTGGTGGAATCGCTATTATAGACAAACCATGAGTGCATCTTGACCATTTATAATTTTAATTGTCCATCAAATTTGGTAACAGGTGTCTGTGTGTATGTGCACTTGTTGGTGGACATCCTGTGGTGGAAGAGACTGCATTATACATGGCTGGCCATTTTCACTGAAGGAATGATCACCATGGACATTTTTTACTTGAATTCTAAAATAAAATTTATTTTCTGGTATCACATAAAAAGATTAACATGGCATAATACATTTAAATATGTGCAAGGACACTTTCAGGTTGGATTTTTATTCACCATGTTGGTTTATAACTGTTTATTACTCAATCACTTATTTATCAGTGTAGATTGGATATATACAATGTTCAAAAAAATTTAAGGAACATAAGGAAAACACTTCAGATCTTAATGGGGAAAAATGTCATGCTGGATATCTATACTGATATAGACTGGGTAATGTGTTAGGAACATAAGGATGCCCAACGTTTGATGGAAATGAAAATTATCAACCTACAGAGGACTGATTTCAAAGACACCCTGAAAATCAAAGTGAAAAAATTATGCAGCAGGCTAGTCCATTTTGCTGAAATTTCATTGCAGCAACTCAAAATGGTACTCAGTAGTTTGTATGGCCCCCACGTGCTTGTAAGCATGCCTGACAATGTCGGGTATGCTCCTCATGAGACGAGAGATGGTGTTCTGGGGTATTTCCTCCCAGATCTGGACCAGGGCATCACTGAGCTCCTAAACAGTCTGAGGTTCAACCTGGCGACGTCAGATGGACCAAAACATGATATCCATGAGGTGTTCTATTGGATTTAGGTCAGGCAAGTGTGGGGGCCATTCAATGCTATCAATTCCTTCATCCACCAGGAACTGCCTGCATACTTTCGCCACGTAAGGCCAGGCATTCTCGTGCACCAGGAGGAACCCAGGACTCACTGCACCAACATAGGATCTGACAATGGGTCCAGGGATTTCATCCCGATACCTAATGGCAGTTAGGGTGCCTTTGTCTAGCCTGTACAGGTTGGTGAGTACCTCCATTGATATGCCTTTACAGACTATCACTCTCCCACCACCAAAATGGTCATGCTGAACGATGTTACAGGCAGCATAACATTCTCCACGGCTTCTGCAGACCCTTTCATGTCTGTCACATGTGCTCAGGGTGAACCTGCTCTCATCTGTGAAAAGCAAAGGGTACTAGTGGCGGAACTGCCAATTCTGGTGTTCAATGGTAAATGCCAACTGAGCTCTATGGTGCTGGGCAGTGAGCACAGGGCCCACTAGAGGATGTCAGGCCCTCCAACCACCCTCATGAAGTCAGTTTCTGATTGTTTAGTCGGAGACATTCACACCAGTGGCCTGCTGGAGGTTGTTTTGTAAGGCTCTGGCAGTACTCATCTTGCTCCTCCTTGCACAAAGGAGTAGATACCAGTCCTGCTGAGTAACTGCCTGTCTCCTGAATTATCCTCCATGCTCTTGAGACTGCTGGGAGACACAGAAAACCTTCTGGCAATGGCACGTATTGATGTGCCATCCTGGAGGAGTTGGACTGCCTGTGCAACCTCTGTAGGGTCGCGGTATCACCTCAGGTTACTAGTAGTGACACTGACCCTAGCCAAATGCAAAACTAGTGAAAAACAGTCAGAAAAGATGAATAGGAAAAAAGAATGTCAGAAGCCTCTACCTGTAAAACCACTCCTGTTTTGGGGATCATCTCATTGTTGCTCATCTAGTACACCTGTTGTTAATTTCATTAACACCAAAGCAGCTGAAACTGATTAACAACCCCCTCTGCTACTTAACTGACCAGATCAATATCCCAGTAGTTTAATTGACTTGATGCTATACTCTGATTAAGGGCTCGTTCACACTAGGCTGTTTTGCCAATGCTTGCCAAACGCCCCTATAGCTTTTGGCAAGCGTTGGTCTGGCGTTTGCGGAGCGTTATTAACGCTCGGCAAATGCTCGGCAAACGCCGCATGCGCGGTTTAGCGGCGGTTGCTAGGCGTTTGCCGAGCGTTAATAACGCCCCACAAACGCCTATAATGCAGTTTGAGTGGTGTTACCGCTCCGCAAATGCCCCGCAACCGCGCCGCAACCGCACCGCAAACGCCGGCCGGGCGTTTGCGGAGCGGCACCATAGACGGGAATAGGAGGCTTCAAAGCCTCCTGACTCGTCCAGAGGCGTCCGTTTTGCCGCGACGCGACGCAAACGCTCCCGTTAGAACAGCACCATGTGCTGTAATGTGCAGAATTGGCAGAGGCGTTTGGGAAGCGGTAAAAATGCTTACCAAACGCCTCTCTGCCGCCTGCACACAAGGCTAGTGTGAACGTAGCCTAAAAAGTGTTCCTTTATTTTTTTTGAGCAATATATATATATATGTGCAAGTATCTCATAAGCATGTAAAAATGAATTTATTTTTTTTTATAAGGCCACTGTAACGCTGCTGTTTTTGGGTTTATTGTAGTTTCAGCTAGTATCACAGTTGTCCAAAGGCTGCTTGATTAGTGTAAAAATTTCCTTTGATCTAGCGCAGATATTATTTGTTAACATCCTGCTATAGTAGAGCATGCTCACTTGACAAATTTTTTTTTTTTTTATTTATCTTGGAAAATGTGATTTGTACTTGAACATTATTGAATGAAAAAAAAACATGATTCTAAACAGAAAAGTTGTTTTGCACAGAGAACATGCTCTATTCCTTTAATAAATCAACCTTTCTCTATAATAGGAGGTAAAGCAGTGAAAAACAAATTACAAGGAAGCAACAAACAAGTGATAGATTTTAAAGGTTTAATATATATGTAGAAAATGTTTTACAAAATAAAACAATACAGTAATACCAATACAGTAGTTCAACTCTGTAAAATTTTATATAGTCCCACTGCTAGGCCCTACCACTGTACAGACAGAAGACACACAGGTGTAGATTTATTAAAACTGGTGCAGTTTTGCATGGTAGCCAATCAGCTTCTAACTTTAGCTTGTTCAATTAAGCTTTGGTAGTACAACCTGAAAGTTGGTTTCTATGCAGAGTTGCAACAGATTTTTCACTCACTAGTTTTAGTAAATAAATCCCATCAAGTTCTCAAATATATAGCTTCAGGGGTGCCAGAATGTTGTGTCTGAGAAACGAACACTGGTTTTTTTTTTGTTTTCTCCAGTCCAAAGCCTTTAAAGAGTCCTGGGTGGGATGACGGTTCGAACCTAGTGTCCAGGACTTACAGATAACCAGCAGGGTGTGTGTCCAGGTGTGCACCGCCCTTATAATGACAGTCTTGGGCATATCTTATGGCTCCCATTAGGAGGCAAGGGGGCTTCAACCAGGAAACAGGTCTGCTTGGCTGAGAGAACAGGTACGTTCCACTCAAAAGCCAAGAGGTCTTAGGCTAGGAGACAGGAGGGCTTCAGATGGGTGCCAAAAAATCAAATATTCCAAGGCCAGAACGTGAGCCTATGCAGCAGGGTGTTGCAACTAAAGGCCGAGAGGCAGAAGAATCCAGGGAGTCAGAGGAGCTTGGTGAGAAGTCTGAGGGACTACACAAAAGTCAAAGTCCAAGGTTATGGACTTAAGCACCTGCGCTGGTGAAGAGTGAGTCAGGTGGCTCAGTATTATTTGGACTGTGCTTGTTTTTGATAGTGAATACCCCCTGCTTGGGTAACTGCTTTTCTGTGGAACTTTGTTCTTGTTTGGGTAAATAAAAGTGGGCAAACAAGCCCCAAAATGGACTTTCAGACTTGCATGGTCTCATTAAAAACACTCAACACCACTGAATTTATACCCTCGATATATATGCATAAGATATAAGTATGCATTGGCAGTTTACTGCCTCTTGCCAGCTACCGTGCTAGGAGCGTGCAGGTAGCACACTCTCAGCACAGTAAGGCCACTTCTGGCCTTTAGATAGGGGATCTGCTGGCACCCCGGGTTCTCTCATTCCCTTGAGACTTACAGACTCTCTCCATCCCCTGGACTAGAATAGTCATCTCAGCTCAATAAATAAAGAAAAAATCCTCTTGTGCTGCCAAACCTAATATGATAAACTAAGAATGGCTGCAAACACCAAATTGCATTTCCACAACACTAAAAAAAAATAAATAAATAGAAAAATAGTGCTGCGCTACTCACTAAACCTAACCATAAAGCAAACCATAAACACCTGACCTGACAGAGCTCCTAACTAGCCACTTGCCCTCCAGAGGATTTACCCCCCTTAATGACCAGGCCTCTTTTTGCTACTCACACTGCACTAATTCAACTGATAATTGTGCAGTCATGCAATGCTGTACCCAAACAAAATTTCCTTTTTTTCACACAGAGCTTTCTTTCGGTGGTATTTGATCACCTGTGCGCTTTTTATTTTTCACCCTATAACCCTTTTGAAAAAAAAAACAATATTTTTTACTTTCGTCTATAAAAATATATAGTAAACTCAAAGTTAGTTATACTTTTAGGTCAAAATATATTCTGCTACATGTTTTTGGTAAAAAAAAATCCTAATAAGTGTATACTGATTGCTTTTATGTGAACGTTATAGCGTCTACAAATATGGTATAGATACTGCAATTTACGCCATTTTTTTTCTATACAGTGCTGCACTAGTTTAACGGACAATTGCGCGGTCATGCAATACGGTACATAAATTAAATTTATGCCCTTTTTTTCCCACAAATAGAGCTTTCTTTTGGTGGTATTTGATCACCTGTGCGCTGTTTATTTTTGGCGCTATAAACAAAAAATATTTTGAAGAAAAAATTTTTTGTTTTTTCATTTCGGTCATAAAAAATAGCCAAAAAAACTAAAATTTCGTCATAAATTTAGGCCAAAATGTATTCTGCTACATGTTTTTGGTTAAAAAAATCCCAATAAGTCTATATTGATAGCTTTGTGTGAAAGTTAGATAACATGTAGATAGCATCTACAAAC